AAACGAACTTCAATTGGATTTCAAACTTTTTTCAAAAACGTTCGAAATGCCGTATTATTAGGTACGAAAAGCGTGCTACTTGATGAAATGACAAAAAGGGCCTCTATTCAGTAAACCAAAGTACGTCGTGAAGGAGGACAAAGGCAAGCGGCAAACCTCCGGCCAAGCAATGCGTTGGGTATGTGTGGATTAATAAAGACAGCGTCGACAGGGACCCCGGCGTCCGGAGCATCACCTGTGCATCCTCCATCTGCGCTTGCTTCCTTGAGGTCCAATTGTCCATTCTTAAAGCAAGAGTGCGAAAGCGATTCGCAAACGCATCTAAGCTTCAACCTGAACGAGGCTATTATTAGCGTTGCTGATGTAGTTGCTCCAATGCATTTCTATTCGATTAGAAAGGGTTTTTCTTCGTTTTAGTGTTCAAACGTTCGTTGAAAGAATTTGAAATCAAAAAAGTGTGAACCTTTTATGGAAAGAATTTTCTATTGCCATCACTGTTGCTTCTCATTGTAAGATTAGCTGCGTTTTTTGCACAATGAAACGTAGCACGCATACTAGTACGCTATCTCTTCGTGCCCGAAGAATGCAAATATGCATTCTGCCCTTTCTCTTCAGAAACAGCGTGTTTTTCATCAAATCTAAAGCAGCCACTCGATAGCGCGCTATAAGACGTGTTCAGCAAAAAAAAAAAGACCGCTAGAAATAGTCGACAAGTCGCTCCAAACGAAGCAAAACTTGCCGCCGGCACCTGCAAAAGGGCCATTTTGACAGTGCACACGAAAAAGTACAGAGCTGGCTGACAGATCTGCGCAGAATGGATGCTCGCGAACTCACGTATACACCGTTTGAGCGCAGACAAGCTGTGCATGACGCGTTCGCAGTGTTTGCGGAGCCCGTTGCGGACGTTGATTCCTCTCCCCTGGCTGTTTTTCACCGGTTTTTCACTATTGAAATACTCAAAATCATTGTGGAGAACACTAATAAGTACGCAGTGATCATTGTAGCTAAGAATTGGGTGCCTCTAAGCATAAATGAGCTGATGACATGGCTAGGTATTGTGATTTACATGGGTATTTATCCCGTTCCACGTCCCCGAGAGTGCTGGGCACGCAAGGCTTCCCTTCCCTCTTATCCCTTCACTACTTACATGAGCCGAGACCGATTTGAACAGATTCGGTGGGGCTTGCACCTCTCCGATAGAACTGCTGAAGGAACTCACTGGTCTAGTAAATTGGAACCAATTGTTTCCTGTCTACGTGCCAACTACGAGTCTAATCACTACATATGATTATAATCACTACATGAACGGCGTCGATATTGCAGATCAATATCGCGCTTATTACGCCAGTCAATTAATTTCTTTTCGTGCGTGGATGCCAATTTTCTACTGGATGCTAGACACTATTGTTATCAATTCATACATCTACCATCAAAATGTCTGCGCTCGAGCGAGCAGAACCTCGTTGACGCATCAATCTTTTCGACTAAATCTCGCGTGGGAACTAATCAACCAGTCGTCCAAAAAGCTGCCTGTTATGGACCTTAGCGTGCATCTTCCAGTTTTTCAAGAGCGTCGGATAATATGCGAGTTGTGCAGACAAAGTGGGCACAAGTTTCAGACAACAGTAGTTTGTTCGACCTGCCAGTTGCTTTTTTGCTTGTCTTCCCGTCGAAATTGTTTCACTGCACATCACACGAGCAAGAAAGTTGATGGTAACTTACCATTGGTAAGTCATCCCTCCCAGTCTAGTCGGGTTTCTGCACTACAGATGGGGTTGAGTAGAAATGGGTATCTTTTTAATATGAACTTTTGTATCAGAAAATCCTCGGGCACGAAGAGATAGCAAATGCGGATGTGCACCCGGAGATGTACTACTCCTATCTATATCAAGTCACGCCTGGTGAATGGATTAAGGCGAGCGTTTTCGAAGCTATAGGCAGCCTTTGGTCAAAAACAACCAACGTCGTGTTAGTCACACCCGACATCAAGTTGAACAAGAAAAGCAAGAAGGTGTCCCTCTCAGAAGAAGCTGTTGCCAGGATCGTGTCGACCAAAACAAACTACATTTTGATACACGTCAACTATGACGGCTGCCACTGGACTACGGTTGTCATAAAGTTGGACACCAATAGTTTGTTCATGTATGATCCTCTCGGCGATTCGGTGTACGTGGCAAGTTTGGCTCTCCCTTCTACCTTCGAGATTCAGCAGGAAGAACTGTTTCCATTTACAGCGTTGATAGCAGATCTTGAACTCCATCATACAATTCTACAACATATAAACAAATCAAATTTTGCAAACAAACTCAGTTGCATTTTAACTAAATACAATCGAACAAAACACGCACAGAAAAATTACGGTGATCTATTTTATTAAATTACGCCCTGTTTTCTCGTCTAAGGATTAATCGGTACTCGACCTAGACTAACCTGGACTCAAGCTGGAAGTATAAACGGCCAGGATTCACACGGCTATGCAAAAATAACCTGTACTGTAGTCTCGTCCTTTTTTAACTCGAAATGCCTGTAACAACCCGCAGGGTCTTTACGGGGGGCCTCAATTAAGATGGCTATGAAATTTGGTACGCAATGCGACATCACTACTGTATATGAAATTGCGAAGCTTGAGCTTGCGATCAATTCTAGATCGCCAGCAACGAGC